CTGCTCCATGCCAGTAGGTTGCCCTCGAGGCTTGGCACAACAAGATGAGGTCTGGTCCCTCTATCCCTTTCCAGTGGAGACATAAACAGTACCCTCTCCATGGTGGATTAGTGCCCTGTTCCCCCAAATGCATTCGATCCCCCCACACACACACTTTTATTTTCTTGTGCCCCTGACCCTCTTTCCTCCCCTTTTATGTTTGGACCCCTATCTTATTTGATTTTGTTTCCCTTCCATTGATTGCACACTGCCAAGCAGAGAAAACAAAGCAGGTTTAAAGCAAGAGAAGTGCTTCCTACAATTTCCTTTTTCTTCCTGAAATATTCAATAATGATTATATTTCTCTCCACACACACTCTATGTCTAATTGGCCACCAAGTCCTAAATATTTTGCTTTCTAAAAACCATTTTTGGTTGTGTTTATATAACAAAGCACAGATTTGTTGTATATTGTGTACAATATAACGTGTGATATATATGACACATATATACACATATACTTAACACACATATGCACATATGTATCCTGTATAATGATATTCGCAATCACAATATACACCACCCAGATGGTTCTCTTTCTCAGTTCTTCTCCCTCTTTCCCTTACCTCCTAAGAGACCATTGATTTGACCTTTTTCACTTTACATTTGTTTGGATTTTTCTTACCTTTAAAAAAGTAGATTATGTATTATTTTGTCTTCTTGCTTTCACTCAACAATATTTTTCAGCTTTGATTTTTCATATATAATTTTATTGTTTTATATTTATATTTATGAAGAATATTTGTTTATAATTTTTATTAGTTACATCTTTGATAGGTTTTTGGTATTAGGGCTATTCTAACCTCATGAAATAAGATGAACATCATCCCTTCTTCCTTTGTTCTTTGAAAGAATTTAAGTAGAATTGGTATTAATTTTGTCTCCTACAACTATCTTGGCCATTCGTTTTCTTTGTGAGAATTTTTCTCAAGGTTAATTTAATGTCTGCGATAAATATAAAGCATTTGAATGTTGTATTTCTTCTTGCATCAATTTCTTTTTTTAGAAATTTGTTGTCAAATAAGTTGTCAAATTTATTGTGGTATTAGCATTAATAATTTTTATTATTCCTAAAAGTGTATTGTATTTCTTTAATATCCAATATTGGTGATTTTTGTTTGTCTATTTTATTAATCTTTATAATCAAATTTTCTTTGTCAATTTTATTTTTCATTTTATTAATAATTGATCTTATCTTTATTTCGATATTTTATATATATAGTTTAATTTACTTATCTCTTTTTCATTTTTTTAGAAGAATATGTAATTTTCTTTATAGCTTCAGTTTATAGCAGTTTGTCTATGACATACCAGTGTAATTCTCTTTGTGTTATCCTACTGGAATTTTGCTAAACTTGTTCAATATGTAAATTGATATTTTTCAACAAATCTGAAAATTGTTCACTCATCAGTTAAAGCTTTTTTCTTTTTCTTTTCAGTCTTTATTTTCTTCCACTTTAGAACTCTAAATGGATGGATATTACTCTTCTACATTTTGTACCACAATGAACTAATGCTAAGTTCTTTTGTATTTCAAAAGCGGCATATCTAGTGATCTGTTTTCAAATTCACTCACCCTTTGCTGTCTTTCTAGGGCTGTTGACTCTCGCTGTCTTATTTTTCTATAAATTAGATGTTATGTTTTTCAGTTCTTCATTTTTCCATTTAGTTTCTTTTTCTCTATCATTGTTCTAGCTATACAATTACTTCATGTTTGTTTACTCTTTCTGACCACTTTTTCTTTAAGTCTTGGAACATATTTACAATAGCTGTTAATTCCAATATCTGAGGCATTTCAGGCCTACTTCTATTGACTTATTTTATTCTTCTTGGTGGGTAATGTTCTCCTACTTCTTTTTGTGTTTGGGCCAAAATTAGAGTCTGTGGAGGGACTTAGTAGAAACCAGATAAATAGCTTTAGCATGCAGGGAAAAGTTCTGGGCTATGTGTATGCAAAGTTCCACAATATAATTAAAAGGGTAAAAGTCAGTTAATATTCATATTTTTGGAAATAGTCATATAATATCTTGTTTAATTTTCCATCCCCTGAATATTTTAATAGATTAAAATTAGGAAATTTCCAATATGATTTTTGGCACTAGAAATCCAATAGCTAAAATGTATTGAAACAGTTTTATTTGATAATCTACTTTTTATATTTTCTTTAAAATTTTGAATTGCCCATTTAAAAGATCAAACTCCTGAATAATTACATCTGGTCTAGTTGTATTACATTTTATTTGCCTGGTATAAACAAGTAACTTTTAATGACATTATATAAAAATTTAAATTAGAACTAAGATAAAAATATATTAAAATGAAACTGACAGAAACACCACATGGACATGCAAATCATATTGTGTTACAAGAAGTTGTAAACTTCATGAAAATTTGAACATTTTCTTATTCTGATCATCAGTATTTTCATTTCCTTCAATTATTAGTAAAAATCCAAACCAAAAATAGCATAAGATGTTGTTATTGAAAACATTGTTATTGAATTGTAATTTTATTTATGCATCAGATTTTCTAGTCTTTACAATATCCAAACTAGACTTTAAATCACTTGACTAAAAGGAGTTATTAATATAGTCAGATGAATAGAATATGTGTTTGGGGGGGTACAAGTGGGTCCCTCCCCCCCAAAAAACGGAAAAAAATTCCACTTGGCAAAGCTTTCATAGTACACACTTTTCCTGCTAGGAGAGCATCAAGCAATACCCTCCGAGTTAGTGCACTCAGTGGCGTCATCTGGGAAGGGTCTCTTTGGTCACAGTGAATTTTTCATGAAAAAGGTATGAGTTTTGCTCATACCTCATTTTTTTGGCTTTTTGGTTTTTGTGATGGCTGATTTAAAGAGCAGCATGCAGCTGTGAATTTTTTTTTCCTATTTGGGAAAAATGCCTCAGAGACTGTTGTGATGTTGAAAACAGCTTACAAGGACAGCACTACAGGAAAAACTCAAGTACATGAGTGGTTTCCTCTTTTCCCAAAAGCTGAAATGTTGATTGATGACAAACCTCATTCTGAATATCTGTCAACTTCCCAAATGGACAAAATGTTAACTCATAGTGCATTTGGAGTTTGTTCCACCAGGTCAGATTGTTAATCAAGCTTTCTATTTAGAAGTTCCAAAAAGATAGTGTTTCAGCGTGCAACAAAAAAGGCCTGGTTTTTATCTGATGGGGTAGTGGTTTTGCCAGTACAACAATGTACTTGCCCCCACAGCCATCTCAGTGCATCCATTTTTGGCAAAGAACAGCATGCCTCTCTTGCCCCATGTACCTTACTCACCTGACCTGGCTCTATGTGACTTCTTTATGTTTCTGTGAATGATGAAGGACATGAAAGGACAGTGATTTGAAGAGGTGAAAAGAAAACCGAGGTGGAGGGGGGTGTTGTCAGCCACCCAAACAGATGGGTTTGAAAAATGTTTCCAAGAATGGAGTCATAGATTTGACAATATATTAAGTGTACTGGAGAGTACTTTGAAGGCGATAAGGTTGTTTGTAAAAAAAAATTTTAAGCACATACCTTTGGGGGGTAGGGATCAGGGATTTTGGGTCCTCCCTCATATTTACATGTGTGTGTGCACATGAACGTGTACCTGTATGTATGTCTATACATATTTCAGGTACTGTTGAGTTGGTCCCAACTCAAGGTGACTCCAAGAAAACAGAAAGAAATGCTGCCTGGTGCCATGCCATCTCCATAATTGATAGCATGTTGTACTATGATGATCTATAGGGTCTATGTTGACTGATATTTTGGAACCAGATTACTGAGCTTCAGTCTGGATGCTCCACTGAAATCTGTAAAGCATCATGTTATTAGTAGGTGCTATCAAGTTGGTACCTCCATAGTGACCCTATGCACACCAGAATGAACCACTGTCAGGTCCTGTACTAGCCTTGCAATTGTTTCTATGCTTGAGTCCATTGTTGGAGTCACGGGGTCAATCCATCTCATTGAGGGGCTTCCTTTTATTCACTGCTCCTCTATTTTACCAAGCATGATGTCTGTCTCCCATGACTGTCTCTCCTGACAATATGTCCAAAGTATATAAGACAAAGTCTTACTATCCTTGCCTCTAAGGAGTAGCCTGGTCATACATCTTCCAAGACAGATAGATTTGTCCTTTCAGCAGTTCATGGTACTTTCAATATTCTTTGCCAGCATCACAATTCAGATGTGTTGATTCTTCTTAGGTCTTCCTCATTCAGTGTCCAACTTTCACATGCATACTAGGCAATGGAAAAGATCATGGCTTGTGGCAGATGCACCTTAGTCTTCAATGTAATATCTTTGATTTTCAAAACTCAAAAAAGTTCTTGTGAAGCAGATTTACCTAGTGCAACTTGTCTTTTGGTCTCTTGACTAATGCTTCCATGAGCATTGATTCTGGATCCAAACAAAATCCTTGACACCTTCAAACTTTTCTCCATTTATCATCATGTTACCTATTGGTCTAATTGTGAAGTGTTTGGTCACCCTTACATTGAATTATAATCCATACTGAAGGCTGCAATCCTTGGTCACCATCAGCATGTGATTCAAGTCTTTCTCATTTTCAGCAAGCAACATTGTTTCATCCAAATATCGCAGATTGTTACTAAACCCTCCTGCAACCCTGATGCCACAGGCATAGCAATGTGCAAGTGCGCACTATCAGGGGAAGGGTGGAGTTGGATGGCTTTGCATGAAGTGAATCAACCAGGAATCCAACTCAGTTTTTCCTGATTGAATTCTCCCATTGAATCAATGTCCCTTTCTATAGCAACTGGAATGAACACATAGTAGTATAGTGAGTACAACTTGCTGCTTGTATGTTGAGAAAGGGCAGACCCTATTAGATATGATCTGCACATAAAAGCAACCCAAAGTATCTCATAATCAAAATAAGACTGTCAATTTTATCACAATCTTTGCTGTGATTTTTGCATATGAAAGGTTCATTTTCTGCATGGGTTTGGATTTATGGCAGGTCTGATCCCATGGGCCTCTCATTGTGTCCCATGCCAAAGCAAATTGTAACCCCGAACCATTGCCTGGCTTTACCCCCATGGACTTCAGGCACTGAAGCGGGTTACACAGTGAAAAAAAAAAAAAGAAAGAAAGGCTCATTTTAATTTTTTCTTATCCGAGGTAGTCAAAAGGAAAAATTGGCAGTAAGTGAAGTGTGTAATATTTGGAATTTTTTCTATAGATTCTTTACTTTTGCATGGGATTATGCATTGTTTATGACAATAATCTGTTATAGAGGGAGTAGAAAGTAAGGTAGTTTGTGGTGCCCTGAACGTCTGAACATCTCGGTATTACACGTCTTTCCATTTTTCCTTCCATAAACTAGAGGAGATTGGGGAAAGAGTGAGACATAAGATAACATGACAAGATGGAGGGTGGAGACTAAAGAAAAAAATTTTTTAATTTTCTCATTTTATTTCAGTAGCTTCTAGGCATTAGGCAGTTTATATAAATCACCTTAGTTAATTTTGGAAATGAGCCTATCAAGGAGCAATTGTCTACTGTTTTTTAAGAAAGAACATGGAAACACAGAGAGGTTAGGTGCCATGTCAGTCAGGTGTGAGAAGCTGGAAAGGTAAACTTGAAACTCAAAACAAGTGACTATGAATCTTGTGAGCTTTCCTCCATTATTCTTAGGAATCCTTATCTGATTCTTCATTCTAAAATGTATGTGGTTTAACAATTTACCCGTGATATTAGCTTTCAAAAGGCCACTTTAAAACTCCCAATTAATTCCGCAAAAAAGAAAAACAAAGTCCTGACCCACGTTATAACTTGTATGAACTTTGAAGGCATCTTGGGCGAAATAAGTCAACCAGGAAAGGACAAACATTGTGTGATGCCACTTCCGTGAAGTAACAAGAACAGAGAACTAGCTAGCAGTGAAGGTTCCCTAGAGGTCATCCGGGCTGGGGAAGAGGAGAAAGGCAGATCCATTGTTTGGAAGCAGTGAATTTTTATTTTTGATGATGAGAAATTTGGTAGTGGTTATGGGTGATTGCTGTACAGTGTGGTTAATGTAAACCCTAAACCTGAATTTTCTTTTAAAATACAGAACAACAAAAGCAAAAACAAAAAACCCCACAAGTAAGTAGGGTGGTAGTATCCTAAATCGAATAAAATGTGATGCAACATGTAAGAAAAGATGCTTCTCTGCTAACTAGGCTGGAAACTGCATTTCTGTGACATGATCAACAAAGAGAACAGTCTTCTCATGTCTTTCGATCCTGTCTGAAGGGAGCAAACTGCCACTTGGAGGACGTGCCAGTGTGGAAGGAACTTGGACTTGGGTGAAGCACTGTCTCTTCTGCTCTGCTGGATCATATCTTCTCTCCCTCCCACGGGGCCGCTGGTTGCCACAGGGTGCCATCCAGATTTCCCCTTCTGTGGTATGTGTGCGTGATTCAAGACTGGGCTTCTCACATTTACAAAGCGGCTGCTCCTGCAAGTCCGATCGACACTTGTTTCCCACACACAGTCGCCGTAAGGCCATTAAGGCTTAGGTTTCAACCCACATAACAATTCTGATTCCCATCAGGTCGGTTCTAACAACCAAGGGAACTCCTTTAAGATCTTATCTTAGTTATCTGTGTGAAGAGTCTGTGTTTTCTAGCCAAGTGTAGTGCCAGACAGTATTTATGCAGCTGATAAAATCAAATGGGGTGAAAAAGTTCTGGCTTTTCTGTTCATCACTAACTTAAAGGTCTTGAGTGTGTTGCTTCCTCAAACAAAAAAATGTGTAAGTAATTACTGAGACTTTTTTTTTGCTAATCAAGTCATTTCTTCCCACTCTAAATCCACTGTTAATTGGGGGGGGGGGGCGCGACGACAATGTATTTCAATATAGATTAAACTAGGAAGATAAATGTTCCATAAAAATTACATAATATAATCACAAACCAAATATTTGTGCATGTTTGTATACATGTATGAGGGAGAATTAAACATTTATGAAAATATTACATTAATATTTAATTCAATGTTTGCATAATCTTTTTGAAGGCCCTTTATATATATAGTACATATACACATAGAGGTTCACATACTTTTTATGAATCACATACAAAAGCGTTTCAAAAAGTAATGTCCATAAAAGTCCATGAAAAACTTTTTTTTTTTAAGTCGACTTTTCTACAAACCCTTTTAATTCTTGAATACACATATGAATTATTGGTTGTTTTGGTGATCTCCCTAGCTGTTCCACCTTTTGTTGTATACAGATTTCTAGCTGGGTACTACTCAAATTTTCACCTGTCGATATCAGGCTCTCTCAACCGTCATACCATCTGGAAACTGCTCACTTTTATCCATGAGAGTGGCTTCTTTCAGCTGCGGTCCTACGATAGGAGGCAACTCCTCCTACATCTTTAGTCACTTGGTTCTCAGGCAGGTGCTTGGCAGCTGTAAGGTCAGTCGAGGAGTTTGGTTTGGGGCAGGTCAACAGGAACAGGAGGTGCACCATGAAGGTGTGTCTGAGTGTTCTCCACCACTTATCCAGAAGAAGAAAGCTGGCAAACAGAATAAATCGAAATGGCTAGAGCAGAGTTGTGTGGTGAAGAAAGAACAAGCAAAGTCCATCTATTGTGAAATCCATCTACATCTGTGATTCTGCCAGACACTCATATCTTACAACCAACCCCCCCCCCAACCTTTTTTTAATTGACCCCAAAGGAGTTCTGTTATTTGCAACCAAAGCAATACTAACCAGGGCAATCTAGATAAGTATTTTTATCCAGCCAATTAACATGTATTTAATTCTTATGCTATATGCTAAGTCTTTGAATCTGCACAATTTCAATTTAATATACATTCATTTCAACCAATATATACTTCTACTACATTTATTCATAATAGAGATTCAAGGAAACTTGTATTAAAAAACAACAACAAAAACTCTTCTCCACAGCAACCACACTATCCCTTAGTAGTCAAACTACTAGAAAAAGTGTTGTTTAGACTTGCTAGCTCTCATTCATGTTCTCTTAGTCTCTATTATACCTACCATCAGGCGTCCTCAAACTGTGGCCCGCGGGCCACATGCAGCCCGCCGAGGACATTTATCTGGCCCACCGGGTGTTTTTGCCTCGTTTGTTATTTTACTTCAAAATTAGATATGTGCAGTGTGCATAGGAATTTGTTCATAGTTTTTTTTTTAAAACATTAGTCCGGCCCTCCAACGGGTCTAAGGGACAGTGAACTGGCCCTGTTTAAAAAGTTTGAGGACCTCTGCATACAATTATCAAGATTCATCCCATCATTCTACCTAAAGTGCCTTTGACGGGGTCACTAACAAGCTCCTTTGGAAACCAGTGATCTCTGTCTTCATCTTACTGTCCATAGATGATCTCCTCTCCTATCATATGTTTTGTTCATTTGACTTCCAGGGCACAGCACTCTGCTAACTTTCCTCCGGTCGCACTGGTCTCCTTTCATTCTTTGCTAGCTCCTCCTCTTCTCCTTATTAAAGTTCTCCTCATTTGGTTCTTGGTCCTCTTATTCTCTTATTCTATAATAACCCCCTTGTTGATCTCATCCAGTTTAATACATTTAAATAAAGCTAGAGGAAAGGAAAGCCAAGGAAAGGAGCCCTGCTACGCAGTGATGAAGCATTCAGGTGTTAACTAAAAGGCCAGTGGTTTGAAACCATTAGCTACCCCTCCCTTGAAAGATGTGGCAGTCTCCTCCTATGAAGATAACAGCTTTAAACCCAGCATCCCCATGGGAAGCTCTACTCTCTCCTACAGGGACGTTGAGTCTGAACTAACTTCATGGCAGAGGTTTTTGTTTTGCTTTGCTTTGCTTTGGTTTTATATGCCAAGAGCTCCAAAATTAACATATCCGGGTTATATCTTTCTTCCAACCATCAAATCTAATAGTCAACGTGGCATCCTCAGTTGGAGATTCCGTTTTCATGCGAACATCAGCACATCCAAAAGTAGCCATCTGATTCTTCTCTCTGGAACTTGCGCTGTCTGTAGTCTTCATCATCGCAGTCGATGGCAAGAGCCTCTTTTCTATGACGCAGGCCAGCTACCTTGGAGTCAATCTGGGAGCCTCATATTTCATATATATTACACTATTAGGAGGCTCACTGGTGTGGCTTTCTAAATAGATAAAGGATTCAACCACTTCTCACCACCTCCATAATTACCACCATTATTCCCTGGACTCAGTGTAATGCCACATAGTGAGTCCTTCTGCTACTTTTGCTGCATTTTTGTGTATTCTAGAAAGAAAAACTGGGACCATCCCATCCGAATGCACATCAGCTAACATTGTACCTGCATTCAAATCCCTTCCTTAGATTTGGATTTCAATTCAGAGTGAAAGCCATACCCATATGTGATGAAGCCCCATCTTACCTACCTGCTTTTGTTCTTACTGCAGTGCAGTTACAAGTGCACCTTAGGGCATCTGTGCTGACAGCTTCTTCTACCAGAAATGCTCTTCGTCTGAATGTCTCTATGGCTAATTTCTTTATGTCCTTGGTGTTTACTCACCTGGTCCATTCTCCTGGAGAGCTCTTTAAAGTAGCAACTTTACCCTGCATTCCCTGGTTCCACTCTCCGTGTGTCCGGAATCTGGCATAGTGCAAATTCACTATTTTTTGACATTTACTTCTTATTACTTTCCTCAGTCCCAATATAAAGCAAGCTCCAGGAGGGCAGGGATTATTTCTCCTTGCATTCATATATTCCAAAGGTGGAAGAGTTCTTGGAATATCAGCAATCAATAAGATTATGATTGAATATGTGTAAAGGATTCTTCTAACCTCAAGGTCAACTTGTATCCACCAGCTGTGCCATAGGAGAAAGATGAGGCTGCTTGCTCCTGTAAAGATATGCAGCCTCAGAATCCCTAGCTAGCAATTCTACTCTGCCCTATTGGGTCACGATGACTCAGAATGGCAGTGGGTTTGGTTTATATATTTCTTGGTCCAATCTACAGTAAATTGAAGAGTTAGGGTTTGAACTATATTGTTTAACATCATGCTTGTCATAATTTATAAAATCCCTTGGGGGGAAGGTGCATCAAATAATTTGTTCTTCATCTAAAAACCTACACATAATGT